AAGTTGTACGCCAGTCATTTGGACACGAAAAGTTGCACACCGCTCATTTAAACACGAAAAGTTGCATACCGCTCATTTGGACATGAAAAGTTGTGCACAGCTAATTTGGACACCAAAAATTGCACACCGCTCATTTGGACACTAAAAGTTGTACACTGCTCATTTGGTCACGAAAAGTTGCACACCGCTTATTTGGACACGAAAAGTTGCACACCGCTCATTTGGACACGAAAAGTTGCACACCGCTCATTTGGACACCAAAATTTGCACACCGCTCATTTAGACACGAAAAGTTGCACACCACTCATTTGGACACCGAAAGATGCACACCGCTCATTTGGACACGAAAAGTTGCACACCGCTCATTTGGACACAAAAAGTTGCACTCCACTCACTTGGACACGAAAAGTTGCATACCACTCATTTTGACACGAAAAGTTGCACACCGCTCACTTGGACACGAAAAGTTGCACACCACTCAATTGGACATCGAAAGATGCGTTAACGAATGGTTTTCGTTTGACCACGGTACGATTGGACATAGATTATAATGATTGGTTCGACCTAATAATCCACTAGATAATTCTTATCACCGATTAGTTATGTCCAATCGTACCGTGGTCAATTGGAACGCTCCCGCGTTAACAGTTTATTTGAAATTTAATTACAATTATTAACTATTTATACTATTATGAACAGTTTATTTAAAAACTAATCTAACCCAACTTATCATCATAAAAGTTGAACGCAAAAGTTGAACACTTTAATAAACAATGACTGACGCTTACGCTCTATGCACAATGCCAGGCAACAGGCAATAGAAACAGGGAATAGGAAATCAGATGTCAGTTATTTCTATTCTCTGTTCCTATTGGCTAATATCTATTCCTATTGCCTGTTGCCTGGCATTGTGCATAGGGCTTTAATGTGACGATAGGTTGAGTTGAGTTATAGCGAATTCGGTAGCTTGCACTAGTGCGCACTGAGTGCGCATTAAGGCTTGTTTACAGTACATTCTTATATTTAAGATCGTGTCTTAAATACATATTTAAAAACATTTTAACTAATAAAATGATTTGTACGGATGTTATACATATCATATTATGGTTAAAAATATTTGAGAATTTATTTGAGAATTATTTAAGACAATTTTTAAATATAATAACATACTATGAACAAGCCTTAGTGCGCACTCAGTGCACTCTAGTACAAGCAACCGAATTCGCTATTAGAGTCCTAGGGTGCGTTCAGGGAGTACGCTACTAACGCTATCGCGTTTTTCTATCTTTATCGCTTTTTAGATATACAACAAGGATAGAATGACACGGTAGCGCTGAATAGCGCTAATAGCGAGCTCCCCGAACGTATCTCTAGATATATAAGAGAAGCACAACCGGTGTTACGAGCAGTGATTGGCTGCACCATTTTAAAAACCTAGCTATAGTTTACATTACGTATAATTATAGCTTTTCAGTAGTATAAATCGGTAGATTATAGATTTTCAGTAGTGTAAGTCGGAATCGTGATCGGACTTTCGCACAATGGATATTATGGATAACGTGATAATTTGTTTATTATTTTTCATATTTCGTCGACAGATATGTTATATGTAAGTTGCACAAGATTTTATTTGTTTTTAATAATATACAGGGTGTTCGGAAAGTACCGGGACGCCCGAATATCAGGAAAAATATAAGTTTTACAAAAAAATGTTTCAGACAAAAGTTATGGCGTTTAAAAAGATGTATTTACTAATCACATCAGTTTGACCTTGGGTTGCGTAGCGAAGGTCAGGTCAAGGTCATATTAATTTTTTTAAATGGAACACCCCATTTTTCATTGCATATTCTTATAGCACATCTCGAGAGCTTTTCAAAACACTATAATAAAATATTTTTTCGTTAAGAACTTTTCGAGTAATAACACTTGAAATTTCCAG